TGGCTGGGGCTCGCTCCTGACCCCGGCCGACCCACCCACACCCACACACTCGCATGCCCAGCAGGCCCAGCAGGATGTCCGTCAAAAGCACAGCGCCTACACTGCCAAAAAGGCCTGGGCGTGGTCCGATTCGCCCGGCCAGCCCGGCCTTGTTGGGACCGTTGGAGTGTGAAGGCACCCGGAGCCGGCAAGGCAGAGCTGGCAGAGCAGAGCCCCGCGAAGCCCATCTGCCTCCCCGCTGCCTGCGTGTGGGTGAGCGCGCTTGTTCCCGCCCATGTGTGTGTGTGTGTGTGCACAGTGCGACTTCAGGGAAAGAGACCACTTAAGAGGATATGGTACACCTCCCCAGAAGCAGCGTTTCCAGGGACGCGCAGGGACCTCTTTCTAACGCCGTCCTGGCCACACCGTTTGAGGTATCGATATGAAACTTGACACACGGGCTCAGAAGGGATCAATCTCAATGACGGTGCGTCCAAAAAATTTTTTTGAACGCCTAAGTTAGGCCCCAGGGCAGTCCAGTTCTGGTCCAACTTTCGTTCACAACAAGTCCTAAGAAAATAGGAATATCCAAAAAAGGGCCACGGCACGTTGTAGCTGCAACTTTGCTCTATCCAGAGAACTTGTCCTCATCTGCGTGCGGTCAAAAATAGAGATCAAAACCAGGTAGACGGCGGACCTCTGCACGGCGGATTTGAACATCTTGCGAAGTTTTGAAAAGGCACTGTCGCAGACGAGCTCTACTAACCCCGCCTCCCCCCGCCCACCCCTCCGGGCGGCCCGCCTGCAGCCCGCTGCTTTGTCTCTGCGCCGGCCCCCCCGCTGGCCCCCTCCTCATTCACGCGCCGGAGCCGAGGGTCGGCAGCGTGACGGCCTCGTTTTATGGCCTTGTACTCCGAGAGTTAAATTTTTGAACGGATGACTCTAGACTCTCAGGACATGAACCATTGCACTCAGCGCGTGTTCCTTGTGCCAGGCGAATCAAATTTTAATTTTCTACGATAATTTTGACCTTTGTCATTGTTTCAACAGGTCCGGGTCAAATGGTCGTAGAAACGGAAATTTTAGTTGCCTGTCACCAGAATAGCCCGCCAAACCTTTTCGTACAAGTTTCAAAACTAGAAAATGTCCCCTTTTACAAGTTTGGCCGTACAGCCTAGAGCCATAAATCGACCTGTCACGGTGCCGAACCTCTCGGGTGAGGGTGGGCAGCCCGACAGTCCCCATTCAGTGAAACAAAGTCGGCGACAACATGTGCGGGGCTTGGAGACGGTACAGCTCGTCGGCACAAATATTGCACCTCCTCTCTCCGACTAGCTCCAAACCCGCCGTGCAGAGGTCCGCCGTCTACCAGGTTTTGACCTCTATTTTTGACCGCACGCAGATGGGGACAAGTTCTCTGGATAGAGCAAAGTTGCAGCTACAACGTGCCGTGGCCCTTTTTTTGGATATTCCTATTTTCTTAGGACTTGTTGTGAACGAAAGTTGGACCAGAACTGGACTGCCCTGGGGCCTAACTTAGGCGTTAAAAAAATTTTTTGGACGCACCGTCATTGAGATTGATCCCTTCTGAGCCCGTGTGTCAAGTTTCATATCGATACCTCAAACGGTGTGGCCAGGACGGCGTTAGAAAGAGGTCCCTGCGCGTCCCTGGAAATGCCGCTTCTGGGGAGGTGTACCATATCCTCTTAATTGTTTCGCTATACCACTAATTTTCGTGGAAAAAATGGGGGGGCCTTATTTAAAAACATTTTGTGCGTGTCGCAGTAAATTGTCGCGTCTTCGTGGGACAGTGGGACCACCTCCCTCTGGCGGAGCGAGGGCAGGATCGAGTTTCAAGTGTACCGTGCGTGTGCGGCCGTGAGTGCGAGAGAGACAGACTGTGTGACTGTTCGTGCTTGTCGCGCGCTCCTCCACCGCGAAAATGCCCTAGATGTGAAGGGCAGAAGGGCACGGGGACGCCGGGCCGCCAGCGCGTCGCCGGGCTGGTGACTTGAACGCCAGAGTGGCGGGATAGGCACAGCCCGGCTCCGGCTCCGTCCGCGTGGCCCGGCTGCCCCGTGGCCTCGTCTGCTCGGCTCGGCTCGTCGCTTCGGTTGATCACTTCTCGGAAAGTGACTTTGCCTGGCGACACGACGGTAACCGCACTGCAAGTGCCGCGCCGCTGCGTCCGTCCAATGCTCGCTTCGGCGTAAATCCGCAGAGTCGTTTTCGACGCTCCGTCTCTCTCGCGCCCACGCGACACGCCCCGTGAGTGCGAGAGAGACGGAGCGGCTCTCGGAACCAGTGTGCAGGTACACGGGCGAGACGCGCGCGCGACGTGCCCGAGAGCGAATTATCCGATTTGCTGAGTAGTTTTCGCTAAGTGCCATCGCGTTTGCCGGAATGCCTTTTGGCAGCAACTGTCGTGTCGTTGTGACAACGGCACCGTAAACCGCGCCAACACGCACGCACGTTTTTTTTTACCGGGTAACTGCACTAACTGCATACGAGGCATAAAATTATTTTTGTGACATTACCGCTAATTTTATTATTATTATTATTTTTGAAGTACCGAACGGAATGGCGGTAAGGTGTTGCGAGGCGGCAGGCGGACTCCGAACAACATTCGCTTGTCCGTCTCTCTCGCACTCATGGGGCGCCCCGCGAGGGTGCGAGAGAGAGGGAGGGAGGGAGCGCGATGCACCGACGGTTCCGAAGGGGTGCGCTTGCTTCGGCTCGGTTGCATGTCGAATCACGGTCGTTTAGATTGCGTTGCGTGCGATGCGCCGCGTGTCTGCGTGCGTGCTGCGTGCGTCCTGCGTGCGTGCGTGCGCCGACACGAGCGTGCGCGGCCACGGCGGCCACGCCGGCCAGCCAACCAAAATGCCGCGCGCCTGTCTGTGTCTGCGGCCTATCCCGTTGGTGTATCGCGTCATCTCGTCACGTGAGGCACGGCAGCCAATTAGACGTCGAGCCTGGCGGGGCTGGCGGGGGTGTATGTCACTGTCCGGAGCAGGGGAGGGGAGGGGGAGGCATCATGGAGACATCGTACTACGTACTACCGCCGAATAATGTAATAATTGGGCGCCGTTTTGGAACGTGTTCCTCAACCTATCGTTGTCGTCCCCGGGGGACACAGGGGGACACACACTGTGGGACACACGATGAGTCAAAAAGCTTGGGAAGCAAACAACAGGCGAGGCTCCTCCAATTAGAAGACCGGTGCAATTTGGTTGGCCGGGTCGAAGGGGGTGGCGACCGCCGAGCGAACGCGCGCCTCAGACCAGTTTGAGGCGTCGCGTTTGGGGACGGTTTGGGCCCGGTGGTGATTATCAAATTGGACTGGAGTCGGACACACGAGGGCACCACCGGAGTGCTTTGCGTCCAACGAGGAATCCATCGGTGTGTTCGATTCGAGTCCTGTCGGAGGAATGTGTCGAAATGCGTCCGGGCCTCGCCGGCTTGGCCCGAACTGGTCGTCGTCGATCCCCGACCCGACCCGACCCCACACTGTAACGGACGCGGGCGACGGCGATGCTCGCGGCGACGGCTTTCGCGGCCTACCCGTGCGAGCGTGTGTGTGAGCGCCTGAGAGTGTGTGCGTGAAGGCCGGCAGGACTGTTGTACAGTCACGTGCGTTCGACTGGGTGACGAGCACAGCGTTCGCAGTGCACAACGGGAGAATCTTGATGTTTGCCGTGGCGAACTGCACCGGCGTGTGTATGCAGTGCGGTTTCGCGTAATAGATTTCGTTCCCGCGCGACCCGGCCGCCGCGCCACGCCACGCCGCGCCACGCCTGCCCCGATCGGGTTTCACATTAGTAGCGGCTTGTGTAGCGCGGTAGCGAGCCTGCCGGCGGCCACGCCCCGTTCATGATAAAAGTTGGTTATCTTGATAATTACGCATGGCGGCGCTGTGCCGAGCGAGCAACGCGCCGGTCGCTTTTCATTAAGTTTTTGATGTCTACCTTTCCTTTTAACAGCCGCGAGGGGCGCCGCCGCGTCCTGGGGACGTGCGGGCCCACAGTGGGCCGGAAGTCCGGTGGAGGCGGTCGGAATCCCGGACGCGTTTCGAGCTCCAGAGTCGCCAAATGGGACTCGAGCCGAACGTGTGACCCCACCAATGGATTGCTCTCCGAACGAGGAATCCAATGGTGGGGTCACACGTTCGGTTCGAGTTCAAAACGCATCCAGCGCGTTGGCCGCGTGCGCCGGTCGTCTGGCCCACTGTGTGCCGCGGCCAGCCAGGCCGGTGGTGGTCCTCGTTGTTTTATGGGGTTTTTGTTTTCCGGGAACGAGGGAGGTGAGGCGAGGCGTTGAAGGTGGCGATGTTTGTGGTCTTACATCATCGCACGCGCGCCGTGCCGCGCCGTGCCGCGCCGTGCCGCGCCTTGGGGGCGATTGATTGAATACCTGTCAGCTGTTTTTGTGCTCCTTTTGTGCGGCCGGCGGATTATGGTACCGCGAGATTTTTGGCAAGAAAGAAAAGGAATCATTGGCGACGATAAGAAGCGAGATGCAGATGGGAGTGAATGCATGATGGATGAGGCCGCCCACCCCGCCGAGTGTCTCTCTCCCTCTCTCTCGCACCCGTGGTGCGTGCCGCAGGGGCCGCAGGGGTGCGAGAGAGACGGCGCGTCTAGGGTCAGGGCCTTCGGGGCTGAAAGGCTGCACGCCGCGGCGCGTCGATTGAGCCGTCAATGCGAAAGACGTCAGTTATCATTTTGCCAGTAGATTTGTCCGGCGGAGCAGCGAAGCAGCCAGCAGCCAACGGGTTGGCATAAAAAGCGTGCATAAATTTCCCCGCGCACGACAGATACGGCATTCGGCCGCATAGGAGTTCGCGCCTCGCGCCCCGTCTCGCTCGCACTCACGGCGGGGTGCGAGAGAGAGAGAGAGAGAGAGAGAGAGAGAGAGAGAGAGAGAGAGAGAGAGAGACCTGCTGTGTCAGTGGCTGGTCCATTGAGCAGGTTGTCCCATCACTTTCCCTGGACCTAACGGTGTTCTGTTTTCTGTTTCAGATTCGGCAAGAAAAGCCATACTATATTGCAGACCCCGAAGTCGATTCACTTGTAAGTACCACTCGGTTTTGTTTTCATCACAAATATTTATTTTTTTGGCTGGTAGGGCGCAACGCCTCGATACTGTTATGAGACAACAGGTCGCCTTTTACGTTTAGTTTCGTTTTATTTTTTTCTTATCCTGTTTCGTCCTCTCTTTGAAATCCTTCGCTGTAAAAGTCGCTCCGTGCTTCGGGAGGCTTTTGTCAGAGACGCCTTGAAATGATCCGGACGGATTGAATAGTGTACCCGCGCGCCGTCTGTGTGGTGTAGCGTCTGTTCCGCCCAGTGTGAAGATGGCGGGGGAGGGGGGGGGGCGGTCGCTTGAATGGCCCAATGACGCTATTGACTGGCGGGTCCAAGGCCGCGGCGCGGTTGGGCCATACAGTGTAGTATGCCATACCCACACAGTGACGCGAAGCCTGGAGGAAATTTGAACCAATTTAATTTTTCGTGTAAAATTATTCTCGCGGGATGTGCACGGCGCTGTCACTCGGTCGGCCGTGTTTTTGTTTTCGACTTTCTGTTTTCAGGGTATCTGCTAGCCTTGAAACGTTTGATATGAAAGAGCGCTGGTGAGGCAGCGCCGCGCCGCGCCACCAGACCATCACGCCACGGGGGGCCGTCTGTAAGCGGCACGGCCTTGGGGGCCTCGCGCAGCCTCGCGCAGCCTCGCGCAGCCCCGCCAGCCCCGGGAGGCACAGCGTCGCACAGCGCTGCGGGACGGTCCCCGGCTGGCTGGTAGCGTCATTGTCACTGGGGCTGGGCTGGCTGGGCTGGTGTGGGGGTGTGTGGAGTGTGTATGGCGTGGTGCGCCACGGCCCGGGCGGCGAGGGGAGCCGAGCGGAGCTGGCCGCGACCGCGAGCCCAGCCGAGCCGCGGGCCGGAGGCGGAGCCGAGCCGGTCCAGAGGCCAGTGCGAGGGTGGCCCGGCCAGGCGCAGGCAGCGCAGCCCCGTCTCGTCCCATCCCATCCCCCGGGACTGGATTAATGTGATTTATTAGTGTTTCCTGCGCCGCGTCATACATGACCACAAATCCCACACAAGGAGAGCGAGAGAGACGGAGCGAGGGACGCTTGCCCTGCTTGCCCTTCCCTGGCCTGCACTTGCACTTCCCCGCAGTGTCGCTGTCTCTCTCGCACTGCCCGGGCTGCCCTGGCAGTGCCTGGCATTGCCCTGGCGATGACGCTAAACGTCCACAAATCACCGGCAATGGCGCCTCCAGATCTCGGCCTTCCTCTCTATCTGGCCGCCATGGGGGCCGAGATTGTGGTCAGCCTGCGAGGGCGACCGCTCTGCCTCTCTCGCACCCTCACGGAACGGCCCGCGAGTGGGAGGGAGACAGCGACACTGTTCAGCTTGCCGTGGTGGCCGCGTCGTCCTTCGCAGCGCCAAAGGAGTTCGATTAGCCAGCCAGGGGGAGTCGTCGGGGTCCGTCGCAACGTAGTACACTCAGCGCCAAAAAGATCCAAGAGGTCACAGCAAATCGTCTCATTGTCCTCATTGGGGCCAGGTGTCTGAACTTGGAACAACAAGGTATGCCAAACGTACCCAACTAGCTTTCGAAAGTTTTGTGGATGTGAACGTACACTGCTGCCATTTTCAAGTTGTTGAGCGGACTGTACTTGGTGCTTGTTGGTCGTTGCTGTCCCTTCGTCGGTCAGTGCGTCGTCGCGGCGGGCCACCCTCGCAGAGTGCCCCTCGGGGGCCCTGGCTGGCCGGGCTGGCCGGACTGCCCTGGCTGGTAAAGATGGTATCTGTCCGTGTCGTGCGGCGAGCGGCTTTGGCGGGGGTGGCCGGTCGGCCGGGGCCGTGGGGCTGCGTCCGGTGGCCCGCGGGGGTGCACAACGCTGTCACGGACCGCCCGCCCGAACCGTCGCTCCGTCTCTCTCGCACCCCTGCGGCACTCCCTGCGAGTGCGAGAGAGACGGAGCGCGGCCATGTTCTGAAACCGCGCCTTGTCCGGCCGCCAGCACTTATTCGGCAGATAAAGATAATTGTCGTTTCCCTGCCTTGCCTGGGCTTGCCTGGGCTTGCCTGGGCTTGCCGTCCGTAACCCCTTCGGTGCCTCCCCTCTCTCCCTCTCTCTCTTTCTCTCTCCCGCCACTTTTACTGCAGGCCGCCGAGATGCGTATCTGCGTCCACTAGGCCACACCTACTCGCCGGCCGGGCACGCCGGGAACTCGCACGGCCATGGACATGGACGCCATGGCGCACGGACGCTACAACATGATAATTTGGCCGTGGTGCCCGCCCAGTGTAGTGGGCCCGCCTGGCTGGGGCCCGCTCGCCCCGCGGCGTCGCCCCGTGGCGTCGCCCCGGCCGTCCTGGCCGTCGAGAACGCCGTCATGGAGGACGGCGTCGTCGCGCACCTCGTGGTGGCGGTGCGCGGCCCGTGTGTGGCGTTTGCGAGCCTCGTCGTCGTCCTCCTTGTTCGTCATCTCTGGCTGCTCGCGGCGTTGCCAAGTCGTCTGACGGCGACCCCGCCGCGCTACGCCCGGCGACGCCCAGCGACGCCGCGCCGGCCAGGTTTGGCGAGGCGACGCGGCAACGCCGCCGCTCGCCTTGTCCAGCCGGTCCGACAGTCCGACGGACCGGGCGCGCGGGCCACGCCGCGCAGCCACGCCATGCGACCCAACCGAACCGAACCGCCTCTGCCCCGCGGACCCCGCGGTGTCCCCGGCGGCGTGGCGGCGCGGTGGAGGACTCCCGGGTCATGGGACTGACTCCGCGCCGCTCCGCGCCTCGGACGCCCTCCTGGAGGCCGTCCGCGCCGTCCGCGATGACTTCATAATTGCCTTGGTTCTCAGGTGCATAAATTGTGAATGGAGCCTAGCCGGCGAGGTACCGCCACTGGAGCCCCGAATCGCCGAGTCTAGGCCGGCAAGCCGCGGCAGGCGATGGCTATCTGGCGCATCATTATATTACACGCGCAGTAATTAGACGCTATTTACATACTCTTTTTCTTTTCTTTCGATTTTAATCGGGACCGACGCTCGAAACAGCAAACAGCTGATTTGTTAGTGTAGTACCCGGAGTCGGTTTTTTTTGGTCGCTGAATTTTGCTCCGGTTTGGTCGGTTTGTTTTCTGCTGCTGGCCTATCTAACGATCGCCCGACGACAGTCAGTCCGCCCGTGTCCGTCCATCCCTCGCCGTCAACCCTTTATCTTGGCACACCCCGCACTCCCGCGGTACACGCAAAACCACTTTGTCGCGAGGGAGCTGGTGGCGCGAGGCACACCGCGCAGCATCGCGGCACCGTCAGCACCGCCGCGCCATGTCTGTCCAGATTCACGGGGCTCTCGACTCTGTCCAGCAGCCAGCACACCGTCACGGCCCGCCCCACGAGTGCGAGAGAGACAGCCCACATACCACGCATGCAGGCCGTCGTGCGGCGCGCCGGCGCGCGCTGCGTCCGCCTCCCGGTGGTCCGATGAATTTCTCATAGTGTCTTTGTCGGCGGAGAAGGTCTGTTGACATCACCGGTGCCGCCATTAGCTGCCGATGTATCATTAGCGATATGGCTCATTTATTAACATAATTAGCCGCCTATTTATGAGTGTACCGGCCGGGCTGTGTATACCGCCCCGCCCACGTGGTCCTGTACAAAACACACTCACACAAACACACACACGCACACACACGAGCGGGCGTGCCGGGCGTGGTCCGTTTCTGATTGAGTCGCTAAGAGCGGAGGCGACTGGGCAGCAGGGCTCTGATATGGTGCATGCGAAATGATGCACACATATGCTCTCGGCTTGCGTGGACCCGCCCCGCCCCGCCCCGCCGGCCTGGCGCGGCGTATGTATTTGTTATACGCCCCGCCCACTTGCGTGTAAAGGCGTACCGCGGGGCGGGGCGGGGCGGGGCGGGGCGGAAGCCTTGCTGCAGCAGCCTGCTGTGTCCGCGCGCTGGACGCGGAGGCCAAAAGCAGGGACAGGCTCGGTGTGTGCGTGTGTGTGTGTGTGTGTTGCACCGGGCCCAGAGCCACGCTGATCCATCATGAAATGAATCAATCAGTCATAGCCGCGGTGATCTGGTTCCTAGGAGGCGAGGACCCCGGAGCGAGCAGGTCGGACGGGTTGGTATCGGTGTTGTTGTCCGGACCTGCTCGGCAAGGAGCCCCTATTCGCGCTGGGGGCCCCACGGCCCCTAAGGCACGAACGAAACGAAAGCGGAAGTATGCTTGGCGCCGCACGGCCCCTCCAAAACTACACTCCAAAAAAATTCAAAACAAATCTAAATTACTAAAACTCTTTCAACGTTTTTGTAGTACAACAATCTGCAGGAGAGATCAACTGGAATACAACGCTAGTCGAATCTTTAATTTAAAATTATGATTTTGGTGTGTGTGTTGTTCTGTTTGTGACCGTCACCGGTTGCAATGAGGCTTGCGCCCTTGTTTAAGGTTGCTCTATACTAATATGTGTGTCCCGCTCTGTTGCAGATGGTGCAGGCGATACAGGTCCTACGGTTTCACCTATTAGAACTCGAAAAGGTGAGTGCACGAGTGCGAGGCTGGCTGCTGGGTCTGGGGGGCAGCCAGCGCAAGGCAGGCAGGCAGGCAGGGGTGCAATATATCCGCGGAGCACGCAGGCGCCATTGCGCGACGCGATAGGCATTCCGGGACGACATAGTTTTCAAGTCTTCCGTCTCTCTCGCACCCCGAGAGAGACGGCGCGTTCGGAATGGGGCCGCGTACGGCGCGCGCCATCGCGATTCGTCCGACATTAATTCCTTGTCCACATCCCTCAGTTATTGCAAGCGGGCTGCTCTCGGCCCCATCCCATCGCCGGGCCTGCCCGGGCCGCCCTCTGATTCGTCACAACGCCCCGTCGCGTCGCACCCCTCTCTCTCGCTCCCTGGCCCGCCCCTGGCCCGCCCCACCCGGAGGCCGGAGGGGTGGCGCTGACGCGGGGCGTGGCGGCTCGCGGTGGCGCGCCGGTCCTATGCAAGCTCGACATTCTTGTCCGCGTCGCCTGCCCCCGTATTAAATAAACGTCGCCGGTCGCGGGGAATTTTTGCGTCGTGTTAGCTCGGAATGACGGTGCCTTATTGAAACGGGGGAAGGGGTTCATTTTCCGACGGGAGTCTTGGCGGGCGCGACGACGCGGCGACAGTGACAGACAGGGGTTGCACGTGGATATGCGTTTTATTAGATTGTGCGCGCTGCCTGCTCGGTCTGCCCGGCCCGGCCCTGCACCGCGCGCTGACGGCCACCTTCGCTAGAGGCCTAGTCGGAATGCGGCGCGGCGCGCAAAACATGGCCGATGCGCGACGGCGCGCTCGCTGCCGGTCTGCGTCTGTCTGGCTGGCCTGGCCGTCCCTACGCCGGTCGCGCTCCCGCTTGATTAAAACTGTAAATCAAGCGGGGCGTTTGGCCCAGCCGAGCCGGACTGCGGACTTCGGGTGTGGTGACGAGCCGCCGCAGTGGACCAGGGCACGGGAAACTCCGGCTGCGGTGCCTTCAAGTCAAAAAGATCAAGTCTGTAGGGCGCGACGCCGAAGCGCGAGAGAGCCAGCTGGCGGCTGAGCCATTGGCTGAGCCATTGGCTGGGCCATTGGCTCGGGCCTTCACCCTTGCAGGCCGCCGTTTGCACCTGTCGCTGGCTCTGGCTCTTGCCGGCTTTGGCCGGCGCTGCCGTTAGAGGCTCGCGTTGACACACTCACACACTCGCAGCTGGCGGCGCGGCGGGCCGGGCTTGGCCGGGCAGGGCCAGCTGCCTTGTTAGCTCGCCGATACAACCGCACTCCTCCCGGAGCACATAAAGACCCCCGACGACGTGGCCGTCGACCGGGCCGAACGGGGCCCTGGCCGCCGTGCGTGTGGTCTACCCGGCGAGGGGCAGCCACCGCCCCACAAGCAGGCAGGCCGACCTCGCAAATCAAATCTCGATAATGAGGCCGAGTGGTGTCCGTGGTGGACGAGTCAGCGGGGCCGGCCGGGACGGGACGCGACAGGGAGACTCATTATACGTAACATGTCAAGCGGTCGGGCCGTCGGGCCGGCACACTGGTTGTTTTGTCGTTCTACGCGACTTCCGCCCCTCTCTGCCTCGGCTCTGCCTCGTGTGGGCCGACCGGCTCGGCCCCCAGAATTCTTTACTTTTGGAATCCATTTCGGTGCGTGCGTGCTTGTGTGTGTGTGTCTGTGTGCCGTCGGGAGTGTGTGCCGTGTTTTTGCCTGGCACCGCGCCCAGGAGGGATCGGGCTTGCCTGTATGGAAATGCGTTAGGCATTTTTTATGCGTCGGTTTGATTCGTCGTTTGGGGTTTGTTTTTATTGGCGGCCCCGGTCTTGTAGGCAGGCATGGCAGACTCGCATGAATTGATTAGCTAGCGTTTTTGTTCAACTGGTGTGGTGGCGCGAGGGGACTCATGCTCGCAGCGACCCGCCGTGCGCGCGCAAGCTTTCCAAGAAAAGTGTCTAATTTTGAACTGTTTATTTTTTTCGCCCGCAGGTCCACGAGCTTTGCGACAATTTCTGCCATCGGTACATAAGCTGTCTGAAGGGCAAGATGCCCATCGACCTCGTCATCGACGAGCGGGACTCGTCGAAACCCCTGCCCGAGATGGGCAGCTCCACCAACGGCACGGACACGGCCCGCTCCAACGCGGACTCCACCTCACACACCGACGGCGCCAGCACGCCGGACGTGGTAAGTCGACACTGTAAAAACGTGTGCTGGTCACTTTATGACGAAATAGTGGGCCAGATTTGCATCACTGAAAGGACGAGAGTTTCGTCGCAAATTTAGGTGGCTGTTTCGTCAAAAGCTCCTACAGCGTGTCAGCCAGTCTTCGCCATGAGACAGGGTGACGGCCAAAACGAAGGCGGAAATGGTGCGGAAACGTGGCTGCACGTGGCGCTGCAGCAGGCCGCGACACTGGAATGGAAACACTCCAGGTGCAGTGGTGTGACGCTGCAGTCGCTCTCTCTTGCACCCATAGGAAGTGAGTGCGAGAGGGACAGAGAGTGTGCTGCACGGAGAGTCAGGGCCGTGTGCCTTGACCTGCGCGCCATCTCGATGCCCCCGACGTCATGCCTGCCGACGTGTCGCGGGGCTGTCGCGGGGCTGTGGCGGCGCCTGGCTGCCCGCGCTCGCCTCGGCTCGGCTCGGCTCCGCGGTGCAAGACTGGTTTGATTGGTCCCCCAGCCTCGCGTCGACCGCCATCTTGACTGTGATCACGCTGACCAGGCAGGCAGGCACCGGGCCCGTACCACTTGCAAGCGCCGGTTCGAGCGGAGCGCGGCGCGGCCGAGCGCAGCCGGGGTGTGCCGCGGGCCGGCGAGGGCGGGCCGCGCCGAGCCGGGCCGCGCGACGCCGAGGCCGGGAGGCTGGCTGCACTTTCCTCCTTTTTGTGCGTCCGCCGTGTTCCTTCTTGTAGATTATTCATCGATTTAGCCGGCGGCGGAGTGATATTGCATTGTTAATGCGCTGGGACGGCCGGCACGGCCGGGACGGGTATGGACGGCGTTGTATACAGATCCCCGCTCGGCGCGCCACGGGCCACGGCAGCCACGACGCGGCAGCTTAGCCCCGCGTCGCTCCGCCGCTTGGATCGCTGCCGTAGGGCTCCGTAGGGCACCGAAGGGCAGGGTAATTATACTTGAGTGCTTTTGCGTGGAGCGTGCGGCGTGCGTCCTATGGGCCGCAGCCAGTAGTCTCTTTCCGAACGGCGCCTGTCTCTCTTTCTCTCTCTCGCACCCCCAGGGCGTTCCGCAGGGGTGCGAGAGAGACAGCGCGACGCTGTTCACAGCGGGGGGTTCGAACGGGGGCCGCGCCGCGCCGCGTCGCGGGCGAGGTGAAGCCCGGCGTGTAGGCGCTGCGCGCGCTGCGAAGTGCACTCACCGCGTCGGTCGGGACGCACGCAGCCGTCGCTCCGTCGCCGTGCGGGTGCGAGAGAGACAGGCCGCGGTCGGCCGAAGGCTGAAGGGCACGCTCAGCTACCCGCAAATAACCGCAATTTTGTCGCGCCAATTTTCCGGGGCGGTGACTTGCGTTGGGGCAGGTGCTCTCGCTCCACTCCCTGCTTGCTCCAGTTTGCCGACATGCGAGGCACGCGGACGGGCCGACGGAACGGCCGGGGCGGTTGCATCCCATTGAATCACCGATAGACGGCAGTGAGGGCGTGGCGGGGCGGGGCGGGGCGGGGCGTGCCAAGGCGTGCCGCGTCGCGCATGCAAAACACACGCGAGATGTGCCGCGCCCCCGCCCCGCCGCGCCCCAGTGCCATTCCCCCAAATAACTTGATCGGAAAGCGTACAAGCTTTGTCTTGCTTTTATTGCGCTCATCGGCCTGCCTCTGCCCCCGCCTCCCCCGAGTCGGTGGCGGACGCCGGGGACGCGGGGACGCCGGCGACGGCGGCGGCAGGGGCGTCTCAGGAGACAGGGGTGGCGTGGGCGCCGGGCGCCGCCACTGGTCGCTCCGCTTTGCCGCTCGGCTCCGCTTGCTGATATTGAATAAGTTATTGGCGGGTGGTGTGGTCCCTGCCGGACTGGGGCGCCTCCCTCACTGACGCCGCCCTGTCTGTCCGACTGTCCGTCTGTCCGTCCGTGAGTGATGCGACACATCTGCAAATTGACACCAATTACAGAGCTGTGCTGCTGTGCGCGGGGAGTGGCCGTCGGTGGGGGACTTTTCGCTCCCGCCTTCGTGTTTGCTTTTTTTTTCGGGGTCTTTTCCTCTCCCACTCTGGCCAGTGTCCCTCCAAGCAGGCCGGCCAGCCCGAGCGCCTCGATGCCGTTCCCGGTTTTGTTTGTTTTGACGCTTTGCGCATTTCTGCGCGCAGTCGCATTAGCAGGCGGGGCGGAAAGTGGTTCTTTGACTCCGCTTCTGTCGCGCTCCTCTCCGGCTTTCGGGTTATCGGTGGGAAATGCCCGGTCGAGGGTGACCCCGTTCGGAAGACAGCGACCCGGATGCGGCCCCCGTGGCGGCGGTGACCCCCGTTGTCGTGATGCACCCCCTGCTGATGCAGCGCGGCGCTCGGCGAGGCCGCGGGGTGGCCGACGACGCCCCGTCCCCGTCGTCGCGGTCGTGCCGGTCCGCCTGGCGCGGCGCCAGCGTCGTTAGGACCTGCGGCGCGTGCAGACAAACACACAGTGAAGCGACGCGTCGGGGGTGGGGGCGCGGCGGACGGAATGGGCAAGCAGGCGGTGGGAATCGAACCGTGGACTCTGGGCACGGCGCTTTATCTGTCATGTACACGTGTCTATCGCCCAGGCGACGCTCTCCGTGAGGTTGGCGGGAGCAGAAAGGGGGAGAGCAGGGAATGGTGCTTTCTTATTCGTTTGCCAGGACTGTACTGTACTCTCTCTCTGCTGACAAACTATCTCCTCGAAAGGACGGATTTTCGTCACGTTTGTCATTCAAACAGAAATCCCAATTTGTTGCTCGTGTGTTCCTCTTCGCTTGGCGCGCGATGCCTGCGATATGTTTCCACTTTATCGTCCACAAACAAACACGACATGTCTGTGTGTGTGTAGCTTGGATCACACCTCATAGGCGTGTTATCGATGTCCTTGCTACCGTGCGTGTCGTTTATGACCCGTCGACAAGTAGTTTATGTCGACACTCATCGTCTGGCCTGGCCGGCTGAATTAATTGTGGCCAGAACGACGAGTTAGTTCTTTACTCTCACGCGCGCGGGGCGCCGCGGTGCGCGGGGGTTCGACGCGGCGCGCCGACGTTTGGCGCCTTCCCGTCGAGTTTCTTGCCGCCACGCGTTTCGCACCTGAGCGCCAACAAGGTGGCCGTCTCCGCCCCTCCCACCTGACTTTCCAATTTACTTGCCACGTGCCCCCGGATGATGGCTTGCTCGTTGTTGACCCCCTCCTCGTTCGCACCTCCCCCCCCCCTCCCCCAAACAGCCCCCACCTTGTCCCCGCCCCTTCTAAAACACTGTTATTATCCGAGGCGCCGCGCTGCGCCGCGCTGCAGGCCGATTCGAGGACCGAGTCGCTCTGTCTCGCTCGCACTCGTGCGGCACCGCATGGGCATCGCGCAGGGGGTGCGAGAGAGACGGAGCGACGAAAGCACTGTTCGGAATGTGCCTGGCGGCCAGTTGCCGGCCGGTCTGCCGCCCCGCGCGCTCTGTTGCAAGTCCGCGCTCTGCCCCGCTCTGCTCTGGGTGCAAGTGAGACGAAGTGGGACGAGACGCCGGAACAGACCGGATGATTTATGTGGCTGTGTTTTTATCATAATCGCCGTGCAGCTGTGTACGCCCTGTGATTTGCCCCGGACGAGGATCGCAACGGGGGCGGGGCGGGGCGGGGCGGGCTTCGACGGGGACCCTCAGACTCCGCGGCCTCCACTGCGCCGCCGGCCGTCCCAGCCAGCGCGGAGCCTGCAGGCTGCCTGCAGCCTCCAGCGAGGTGGGGGCTGGAGGCACGCTGGAGGCACGCTGGAGGCACGCTGGAGGCCGGCCGGTGAAATTGGTTCGCAATTGCGGGGTGGTGTTTGTTGTTGTCCGGGCCGTTTTTCATGCCCCCGTTTTGCTACCCCTGCGTGCCACGCGACCTCGCTCTGTCTCTCTCGCACCTTGCAGGGCACCCCGTGAGTGCGAGAGAGACAGGGCGACGACATGGACTCACGGTGGCGGCGGCTCGTGCTGTACCCGGCGGGACAAACCCCTTCCCTTACTCCCAAAAATAGTAATTGTAAATAATTTCCCCTCATTGAAACGATTGCGTCAACCGGCTGGGTGCAACGCTTATCACGCGTTTCGTAACGCGGCGCGGATTAGCGCGCTTTGCTCGCGGTGCCGGATTATTCCTTGTTCTTTCCCATTCACTGCTCGTGCACTTAAGATAAGGGCCTATCTAAGGCCCCCCGCAGCTACCGTGCTGCTGCGTGCGAGGTAGGCGGGGTGTGTGTCTGCAGAAGCAGCCTCGTCACCCTTTGGGGGATCGATTTGCGTGACTGTACGGAGGACGGCCTCTGCGGCAATCGCATTTGAATTTCCGATTGGCGTGCATTAGGCGCCCCGCGCCGTGTCCGCCTTGCGTCCAGCCAGCTCATCCACGCCAGTCCACGCCAGTGCGGCTTGTTGTTGTTGCTGCCGTGCCAGACAAAAAGCAAACTAGCTGGCTGGCCCATGTCATGGGGCCCGACGTCTCTCCCTTCCCCCCCCCGGGCTGCAGCAACATCGTAGCGCTCTCTCGTCGTCGTCCTCCTCCTCTTCTTCATCTCCTCGCCCATTCCTCCACGCCTGCATTCTCGAAGCGTCGTCCCTTTGATAGGTGGTGCAGGTACCCGCCTCGATTTGACTGTGTTTTTTCCCCGTGTCCTTGCTGCTCGCCTCGGCCCTCTTAGTCCCCTGCAGCAGACGGATGATTCCGAACGCCGCGCGGCTGTCGCGTCGCTCCGTCTCTCTCGCGCTCCCTCGCGGGGCGCCCCGCTGGGGCGGTGCGAGAGAGACGGAGCGACGGATTCGGCCGGCGTGCTGGTTGATCCCACAAATACCGGCCCCGGATTGTTTTCATTGGCCCCCTGCTGGCGCTCGATCCCCGCGCCGCCCCGCGCCGCCCCGCGCGTTGCGTGGCTCGTCGTTTAACGCCGTGTTGCAGGCAGAGGCAGGCAGGCCGATTGGCCGCGCAAAAGGGTCCTTGCCAAACGGCGCCAAACGGCCGAACGGCACAAGGGCTTGCAGTGTAGG